TGATCCAAGATAGGACAATTGCATTGCATGTCTCCCAATCCACATGCAATACAGTAGGAAATGATTCCTTAACACATGCACCAGTAACAAACCCTAGTTTTCGCTTGGCTTGGAGTGCAATTCTCATCGACCTTCCCCACAACCCATAATTCTCGGATCCTTGGAGCTGAACCGGAATTAAAACAGAGCTTGGAGTGTCCGATGGATGCACAAACAAAGGATAAGTATGATCTATCTTAATTGCCGCCATTGTTGACGTCGAAGAATCCGCCATTGTTCAATTAAAATGAATGAGAAACAGAATTCGACCTAGCGACTACAGAGAATGAGAAACAATTGACTTACAGTCACGAGAGCGTGGAATGCGTGATCAATTTGTTGCCATGGCTTTGATACCATGTTGAGATGCAGCCATGGAAGCTTCTAGGTCTAGGGAGAAGAGAGAAACAGAGAAGAGGAAGTGAAATTTATTTTTTCCACTATATCTGCTATGTACTGTATACATACATTTATACAACTAAATTCAACTAACTGACTACTAACCCACATAATAAATTGAGGTTAACACTAGCTAATTATCTAACTAACCCACGTCATTATTCCTCTTAACAATAAAACATGTGATTTTTGCATCAAGGATGAAGACTAATAGTGTTAATTAGCATATTTCAGGATGCAACGAGCTGCAGTGTCTTCTTAAAATACGCATAGAACTAAATTAAGAACCAAAAAGACTGAGTTGGTAAATAGCTCAAATAGGCAAATCACATAGAAAACGCTATGCAGGTTATATAAGAGAGCAAAATAAAAAAAAATGGAGCTATACCTTGCCTCAACTCGGGATACAACAGTCGAAGGCAACGAAGCTGTTCCAGTTCTGAATACGAAGAGAGAAATAGGCAGCGCGAAGGAAAATACTAGAGAGAATGAGCTAGGGTTTAAACTAAGAAGAATCAATCAGAACAACAAAGAATTGAAAAAAAAGAACCCCCAAAATTCTTTCTTGGACAGTTGCGAATCATTGGGCTATTTATAAGTTGCAGTTTGCATTTTGAGAAATTGCTCAAATGCGATTTAATTTCATATTTATAAATTGCATTTGAAATGCAAGTTAAGCTAATGACATCTCCTAAACCGTCTGTTATTTCAGTTAACTTAGAAATACGGTGTTTTATGATTCATTTTGGATCATTTTTTTTTTTGTTAAAAAGAAACCAAACTAAGTAAGTCGGTTCTTAAAATGTTGAAATTAAACCAAACCAATTAATTCGGTTTTTTAGCGATTCGATTTTTGTTGATCTTTATCGGTTTTTGGTTTTTTCGATTTTTTTGTTAAATATGAGACATACAGTACCAAATACATATTCCGCCGACTACATTTTCAACGTAACACTATCAAATCAATTGCTCTTTGAGAAATCTATCATTTACCATGATATATTGATGATAATTTAATCAAATCTCAATTAAAAATCGATTATTTTTAACATGTAATAATTCTTGTACTTAGCAAAAGCAAACTACCAATCAAACTAGAATGTACAGGAAAAGAATTAGATTATTATCATAGCAAAAAACTAGATTTAAAATACAAACGACTAATATGTACTATAACATTTTAGAAACTTTGTATAAAAATATACATATATATACATGTATAATAATAAATTTAAATAGCTACTTCTATAATCGGTTTGGTTCGATTTTTTCGATAATTTTTATTAAACCCAAAACCAAACCAAATTTGATCGATTTTTAAAATTCAAAACCAAAACCTAAAAAGTATCGGTTTTTTGATCGGTTTGGTTCGGGTTTTCGGGGTTTTATAAACACTCCTACTTAGAACACATGTAAATAATTTTTCACTCATGCATTATACATATTTTGAATTTTCACAAATATTACACATTAATGAAATTTTCCGGCTAAAAATACATATTTTAGGAAAGAATTACTTCAATATGATCCTATGTCTTGCTAAATAACAAAAATAGTCTGTTGATCTAAAATAATTCGTTAAATATACTAATTAGCAGTTTTTATCCGTTAATTCACAAAATGTGAAAAATTTCTTAATTTAATAAACTCCAACTATTAAATTTTACGGGATGATGAAACAATAAATTTCTTTATTTTATTAAAAATATCAAACTATGAGTAAGAGTTAATTATGAAGTTTTAAAAATTAATTATAATTACAGTTTTATCTAAAATAGAATGCACTTAATGGTTAATAAAACATCAACATTTGTGTTGAAGATGTGCTTTTATCATAGTATAACTTAAGATAAATAGGTTACATACATCTCGAGAAAATTACCTGTTAATATTTTTTTGCTTTTAATGAAATTTTAACCAACAACAACATACTCAGTATAATCTCACTAGTGGGGTATGGAGAGGGTATTATGTACGCAGACCTTACCTCTATCAGGAGAGGTAGAGAGACGGTTTCATATAGACACTCGGCTCAAGATAAGGTGGAAAAGAAGAAAAGGAAAAAAAAGAAGAAGAACAAAGAGGGGGGAGAAAGAAAGACGAGGGAGACAAAAGACGATAAGAAAAACGAGGAAAAAAGATAGCATCAGATAGTAACAATGAAATTTTAACCATGAACTTTAATATTTACACTCAGATACACTTTAGCGGATATAATTATTTGCTTATTAGGATATTATCATTAAATTTGAGTAGATTAATCAAAATAATTTGTTTTCTCAATAATTAGAGTGGATTGTCTAAGCTTTTATGTCCTAATCAATGCTACTCCACAAAGTATTGGGAACGTATCCATAATGAAGCGCACCAAAATAATTTATTTACTTATTTGGTAATTAAACATTTAGTATTAACCACTAATGTAAACGTATCCAAAGCTTTTTTGTTTTTTTTTCAATTCTCAGCATATTTTGGTTATAGCAGCCTTGTTTCATAAAGTCAAGTTGATCAAATTTAGTCCTCTGCAGTCCTAGGTGAACACTAACTATTTTGGTATTTCGCTTATTACAGGAAAAAAATAGTAAATATTTCCAAAAGACTTAAACACATTTAGAAAACAAATACTATTATCATCACTAAACAAATTTAAAACAGCAGAGTGGAACTTGAAAGTTCTTTTCGTCCTCGCCTCTTGAGAACTTTAAAGAAGTGTGCACTATTTTGACACCTATTTTCAAAATTTTAGGGTCCTACATGATTACAATTAATAATATTATATCGTAGATTATGATTAAGTAATAAATTAAAATAATAGTATGTGTATATATATATATATATATATTAAATTTAATTGGAAAAAGGGCCAAATATACCCTCTACTTTCATATATTGTCTACATTTAACATCTGTTATACTATCGTGCCAAATTTACCTCTACAATCAGCAAACTTTTAAAAATACCCCTTTATCTGTTAAGTAATCCAAAATCTCTCATTTTTTTAAATTTAAATCACTTGTTGTTCTTATTGTTCCATTATTTTCAAATGTGCATTCGAAGCATAAACAACTCCACTCAACAAATGTGGAGATACCGTGTTCATGAACCAAGATAGGACAATTGCATTATATGTCTCCCAATCCTCATGCAATACAGTAGGAAATGATTCCTTAACACATGCACCAGTAACAAACCCTAGCTTTCGCTTGGCTTGGAGTGCAATTCTACCTTCCCCACAACCCATAATTCTCGGATCCTTGGAGCTCAACCGGAATTAAAGCAGAGTTTGGAGTGTCCGATGGATGCACAAACAAAGGATGAGTATGATCTATCTTAATTGCCGCCATTGTTGACGTCGAAGAATAAATTCGACCTAGCGACTACAGAGAATGAGAAACAATTGACTTACAGTCACGAGAGCGTGGAATGCGTGATCAATTTGTTGCCATGGCTTTGATACCATGTTGAGATGCAGCCATGGAAGCTTCTAGGTCTAGGGAGAAGAGAGAAACAGAGAAGAGGAAGTGAAATTTATTTTTTCCACTATATCTGCTATGTACTGTATACATACATTTATACAACTAACTCCAACTAACTGACTACAAACCCACATAATTAATTGAGGTTAACACTAGCTAATTATCTAACTAACCCACGTCATTATTCCTCTTAACAATAAAACACGTGATTTTTGCATTAAGAATGAAGACTAATAGTGTTAATTAGCACATTTCAGGATGCAACGAGGTGTAGTGTCTTCTTAAAATACGCATAGAACTAAATTAAAAACCAAAAAGACTGAGTTGGTAAATAGCTCAAATAGGTAAATCACATAGAAAATGCTATGCAGGTTATATAAGAGAGCAAAATCAAATAAAATAGAGCTATACCTTGCCTCAAGTCGGGATACAACAGTCGAAGGCGACGAAGTTATTCCAGTTCTGAATACGAAGAGAGAAATGGGCAGCGCGAAGGAAAATACTAGAGAGAATTAGCTAAGGTTTAAACTAAGAAGAATCAATCAGAACAACAAAGAATTGAAAAAAGAGAACCCCCTAAATTCTTTCTTGGACAGTTGCGAATCATTGGGCTATTTATAAGTTGCAGTTTGCATTTTGAGAAATTGCTCAAATGCGATTTAATTTCATATTTATAAATTGTATTTGAAATGCAAGTTAAGCTAATGACATCTCCTAAACTGTCTGTTATTTCAGTTAACTTAGAAATACGGTGTTTATGATTCGTTTTGGATCATTTTTTTTGTTAAAAAGAAACCAAACTAAGTAAGTCGGTTCTTAAAATGTTGAAATTAAACCAAACCAATTAATTCGGGTTTTTAGCGATTCGGTTTTTGTTGATCTTTATTGGTTTTGGTTTTTTCAATTTTTTTGTTTAAATATGAGACATACACTACCAAATACATATTCCGCCGACTACATTTTCAACGTAACACTATCAAATCAATTGCTCTTTGAGAAATCTATCATTTACCATGATATATTGATGATAATTTAATCAAATCTCAATTAAAATCGATTATTTTTAACATGTAATAATTCTTGTACTTAGCAAAAGCAAACTTCTAATCAAACTAGAATGTATAGGAAAAGAATTAGATTATTATAATAGCAAAAAACTAGACTTAAACACATTTTGAGAAACAATTGACTTACAGTCACGAGAGCGTGGAATGCGTGATCAATTTGTTGCCATGGCTCTAATACCATATTGAGATGCAGCCATGGAAGCTTCTAGGTCGAGAGAGAAGAGAGAAATAGAGAAGAGGAAGAGAAATTTATTTTTTCCACTATATCTGCTATGTACTGTACACATACATTTATACAACTAACTCCAACTAACTGACTACTAACCCACATAATAAATTGGGGTTAACACTAGCTAATTATCTAACTAACCCACGTCATTATTCCTCTTAACAATAAAATATGTGATTTTTGCATCAAGGATGAAGACTAATAGTGTTAATTAGCACATTTCAGGATGCAACACTAACTATTTTGGTATTTCGCTTATTACAGGAAAAAAATAGTAAATATTTCCAAAAGTCTTAAACACATTTAGAAAACAAATACTATTATCATCACTAAACAAATTTAAAACAGCAGAGTGGAACTTGAAAGTTCTTTTCGTCCTCGCCTCTTGAGAACTTTAAAGAAGTGTGCACTATTTTGACACCTATTTTCAAAATTTTAGGGTCCTACATGATTACAATTAATAATATTATATCGTAGATTATGATTAAGTAATAAATTAAAATAATAGTATGTGTATATATATATATATATTAAATTTAATTGGAAAAAGGGCCAAATATACCCTCTACTTTCATATATTGTCTACATTTAACATCTGTTATACTATCGTGCCAAATTTACCTCTACAATCAGCAAACTTTTAAAAATACCCCTTTATCTGTTAAGTAATCCAAAATCTCTCATTTTTTTAAATTTAAATCACTTGTTGTTCTTATTGTTCCATTAGTTTCAAATGTGCATTCGAAGCATAAGCAACTCCACTCAACAAATGTGGAGATACCGTGTTCATGATCCAAGATAGGACAATTGCATTACATGTCTCCAAATCCTCATGCAATACATTAGGAAATTATTCCTTAACACATGCACCAGTAACAAACCCTAGCTTTCGCTTGGCTTGGAGTGCAATTCTCATCGACCTTCCCCACAACCCATAATTCTCGGATCCTTGGAGCTCAACCGGAATTAAAGCAGAGTTTGGAGTGTCTGATGGATGCACAAACAAAGGATGAGTATGATCTATCTTAATTGCCACCATTGTTGACGTCGAAGAATAAATTCGACCTAGCGACTACAGAGAATGAGAAACAATTGACTTACAGTCACGAGAGCGTGGAATGCGTGATCAATTTGTTGCCATGGCTCTGATACCATGTTGAGATGCAGCCATGGAAACTTCTAGGTCTAGGGAGAAGAGAGACACAGAGAAGAGGAAGAGAAATTCATTTTTTCCACTATATCTGCTATGTACTGTACACATACATTTATACAACTAACTCCAACTAACTGACTACTAACCCACATAATTAATTGAGGTTAACACTAGCTAATTATCTAACTAACCCACATCATTATTCCTCTTAACAATAAAACATGTGATTGTTGCATTAAGAATGGAGACTAATAGTGTTAATTAGCACATTTCAGGATGCAACGAGGAGTAGTGTCTTCTTAAAATACGCATAGAACTAAATTAAGAACCAAAAAGACTGAGTTGGTAAATAGCTCAAATATCGGTTTTTGGTTTTTTCGATTTTTTTGTTAAATATGAGACATACACTACCAAATACATATTCCGCCGACTACATTTTCAACGTAACACTATCAAATCAATTGCTCTTTGAGAAATCTATCATTTACCATGATATATTGATGATAATTTAATCAAATCTCAATTAAAATCGATTGTTTTTAACATGTAATAATTCTTGTACTTAGCAAAAGCAAACTACCAATCAAACTAGAATGTAAAGGAAAAGAATTAGATTATTGTAATAGCAAAAAACTAGACTTAAAATACAAACGACTAATATGTACTATAACATTTTAGAAACTTCAATAATGTGTGTGTGTGTGTAATAATAAATTTAAATAGCGCACCAAAATAATTTATTTATTTATTTGGTAATTAAACATTTAGTATTAACCACTAATGTAAACGTATCCGAAGCTTTTTTGTTTTCTTTCAATTCTCAGCATGTTTTGGTTATAGCAGCCTTGTTTAATAAAGTTAGGTTGATCAAATTTAGTCCTCTACAGTCCTAGGTGAACACTAACAATTTTGGTATTTCGCTTATTACAGGAAAAAAATAGTAAATATTTCCAAAAGACTTAAACACATTTTGAAAACAAATACTGTTATCATCACTAAACAAATTTAAAAAGTTCTTTTCGTCCTCGCCTCTTGAGAACTTTAAAGAAGTGTGCACTATTTTGACACCTATTTTCAAAATTTTAGGGTCCTACATGATTACAATTAATAATATTATATCGCAGATTATGATTAAGTAATAAAGTAAAATAATAGTATATATATATATATATATATATTTTAATTGGGAAAAGGGCCAAATATACCCTCTACTTTCATATATTATCTACATTTAACATCTGTTATACTATCAGGCCAAATTTACCCCTAAAATCAGCAAACTTTTATAAATACCCCTTTATTTGTTAAGTAATCCAAAATTTCCTTTTTTTTTAAATTTAAATCACTTGTTGTTCTTATTGTTCCATTATTTTCAAATGTGCATTCGAAGCATAAACAACTCCACTCAACAAATGTGGAGATACCGTGTTCATGATCCAAGATAGGACAATTGCATTACATGTCTCCCAATCCTCATGCAATACAGTAGGAAATGATTCCTTAACACATGAACCATTAACAAACCCTAGCTTTTGCTTGGCTTGGAGTGCAATTCTCATCGACCTTCCCGACAACCCATAATTCTCAGATCCTTGGAGCTGAACCGAAATTAAAACAGAGTTTGGAGCGTCCGATGGATGCACAAACAAAGGATGAGTATGATCTATCTTAATTGCCGTCATTGTTGACGTCGAAGAATCCGTCATTGTTCAATCAAAATGAATGAGAAACATAATTCGACCTAGCGACTACAGAGAATGAGAAACAATTGACTTACAGTCACGAGAGCGTGGAATGCGTGATCAATTTGTTGCCATGGCTCTGATACCATGTTCAGATGCAGCCATGGAAGCTTCTAGGTCTAGGGAGAAGAGAGAAATAGAGAAGAGGAAGTGAAATTCATTTTTCCCACTATATCTGCTATGTACTATACACATACATTTATATAACTAAATCCAACTAACTGACTATTAACCCACATAATTAACTGAGGTTAACACTAGCTAATTATCTAACTAACCCACATCATTATTCCTCTTAACAATAAAATATGTGATTGTTTATTCCTCTTAACAATAAAACATGTGATTGTTGCATCAAGCATGAAGACTAATAGTGTTAATTAGCACATTTCAGGATGCAACGAGCTGCAGTGTCTTCTTAAAATACGCATAGAACTAAATTAAGAACCAAAAAGACTGAGTTGGTAAATAGCTCAAATAGGTAAATCACATAGAAAACGCTATGCAGGTTATATAAGAAAGCAAAATCAAATAAAATGGAGCTATACCTTGCCTCAAGTCGGGATACAACAGTCGAAGGCAACGAAGTTGTTCCAGTTCTGAATACGAAGAGAGAAATAGGCAGCGCGAAGGAAAATACTAGAGAGAATGAGCTAGGGTTTAAACTAAGAAGAATCAATTAGAACAACAAGGAATTAAAGAAAAAAAAGAACCCCCAAAATTCTTTCTTGGACAGTTGCGAATCATTGGGCTATTTATAAGTTGCAGTTTGCATTTTGAGAAATTGCTCAAATGCGATTTAATTTCATATTTATAAATTGCATTTGAAATGCAAGTTAAGCTAATGACATCTCCTAAACCGTCTGTTATTTAAGTTAACTTAGAAATACAGTGTTTATGATTCGTTTTGGATCTTTTTTTGTTAAAAAAAAACCAAACTAAGTAAGTCGGTTCTTAAAATGTTGAAATTAAACCAAACCAATTAATTAGGTTTTTTAGCGATTTGGTTTTTGTTGATATTTATCGGTTTTTGGTTTTTTCGATTTTTTTGTTAAATATGAGACATAAACTACCAAATACATATTCCGCCGACTACATTTTCAACGTAACACTATCAAATCAATTGCTCTTTGAGAAATCTATCATTTACCATGATTTAATGATGATAATTTAATCAAATCTCAATTAAAATTGATTATTTTTAATATGTAATAATTCTTGTACTTAGCAAAAGCAAACTACCAATCAAACTAGAATGTAAAGGAAAAGAATTAGATTATTGTAATAGCAAAAAACTAGACTTAAAATACAAACGACTAATATGTACTATAACATTTTAGAAACTTCAATAATGTGTGTGTGTGTAATAATAAATTTAAATAGCTACTTCTATAATCGATTTTGTTCGGTTATTTTTTTATTATAACCAAAACCAAACCAAATTTGATCTATTTTAAAAATTCAAAACCAAAACCAAACCAAAACCTAAAAAGTATCGGTTTGGTTCGGTTTTCTGTTTTGTTCGATTTTTCGTATTTTTATAAACACTCCTACTTAGAACACATGAAAATAATTTTTCACTCATGCATTATACATATTTTGAATTTTCACAAATATTACACATTAATTAAATTTCCAGCTAAAATTACATATTTTAGGAAAGAATTACTTCAATATGATCCTATGTCTTGCTAAATAACAAAAATAGTCTGTTGATCTAAAATAATTCATTAAATATATTAATTAGCAGTTTTGATCCGTTAATTCACAAAATGTGAATAAAATATTAATTAAATAAACTCCAACTATTAAATTTTACGGGATGATGAAACAATAAAGTTCTTTATTTTATTAAAAATATCAAATTATGAGTAAGAGTTAATTATGAAGTTTTAAAAATTAATTATAATTACAGTTTTATCTAAAATAGAATGCACTTAATGGTTAATAAAACATCAACATTTGTATTGAAGATGTGCTTTTATGATAGTATAACTTTAGATAAATAGGTTACATACATCTCGAGGAAATTATTTGTTAATATTTTTTTGCTTTTAATGAAATTTTAACCAACAACAACAACAATATACTCAGTATAATCTCGCTAGTGGGGTCTGGGGAGGGTATTGTGTACGCAGACATTAACCCTACCGGGAGAGGTAGAGAGACTGTTTTCTATAGATACTCGGCTCAAGATAAGGTGAAAAATAAGAAAAGGATAAAAAGAAGAACAACAAAGAGGGGGCAGAAACAAAGACGAGGGAGACAAAAGACGATAAGAAAAACGAAGAGAAAAGATAGCATTAGATAGTAACAATGAAATTTTAACCATGAACTTTAATATTTACACTCATTTCATTAGGATACACTTTAGTGCATATAATTATTTGCTTATTAGGATATTATCATTAAATTTGAGTAAATTAATCAAAATAATTTGTTTTCTCAATAATTAGAGTCTATTGTCTAAGCTTTTATGTCCTGATCAATGCTACTCCACAAAGTATTGGGAACGTATCCATAATGAAGCGCACCAAAATAATTTATTTATTTATTTGGTAATTAAACATTTAGTATTAACCATTAATGCAAACGTATCCAAAGCTTTTTTGTTTTTTTTCAGTTCTCAGCATGTTTTGGTTATAGCAGCCTTGTTTCATAAAGTCAGGTTGACCAAATTTAGTCATCTGCAGTATTAGGTGAACACTAACTATTTTGGTATTTCGCTTATTACAGGAAAAAAATAGTAAATATTTCCAAAAGACTTAAACACATTTTTTAAACAAATATTATTATCATCACTATAAAATTTAAAACAGCAGAGTGGAACTTGAAAGTTCTTTTCGTCATCGCCTCTTGAGAACTTTAAAGAAGTGTGCACTATTTTGACACCTACTTTCAAAATCTTAGGGGCCTACATGATTACAATTAATAATATTATATCATAAATTATGATTAAGTAATCAATTAAAATAATAGTATATATATATATATATATATATATCAAATTTAATTGGGAAAAGGGCCAAATTTACCTCTACAATCAGCAAACTTTTAAAAATACCCTTGATCTGTTAAGTAATCCAAAATCTCCCATTTTTTTAAAATTTAAATCACTTGTTGTTCTTCTAGTTCCATTATTTTTAAAAATTATTATTGATGTGAATGTTAAAGTTACTAGACTATACAAATTATTCATAATTTATTTTTAATTACCAATGAAACCATTTCTCTTCTTGTAATAAATAAAATTGGTTTAGAATTTTATTTATTTTTCAATCATATACACACCATAGAATTTAGTGGGTCTATTTATTATGTATTATATGCAGCTGATCATCATGTATGTGCATGTACATTCAAATATATTTTGTCATTGCTTGGTTAGTATAGAGTTCGATCGACTAACTTAAGAGTGCACAATGTGTAGGCATTTAATTAAAGCAAAGTTGAATTAAACGATGTAAAGCCTCCGAGAACTTCAACTTCAATCACTAATACTTGTAAAGTCTCCATGGATCTGGTGCAACGAATTCGTTAAAATTTGGATGTTGTAAATACTTTTAGAATTTAGAAAAGATACATAATTTAGATTTTTCAATTTACTATACTTTGTTTATTTGGTTGTATTATTTAATATTATTTCTCTAATTTATAAAGAAGGTAAATGCCAATTATTTTAAAAATGGTGGACCAAGAAGAACAACAAGAGATTTAAATAAAAGGAATTTGAAATTTTTTGGATTACTTAACAGATCAAGGGGTATTTTTAAAAGTTTGCTGATTGTAGAGGTAAATTTATCCCGATAGTATAACGGTAGGGTAAATTTGGCCCGATAGTATAATGGAAGTTAAATATAGACAATACATAAAAGTAGAGGGGTATATCTGGCCTTTTTCCCAATTTAATTAGTAATTTTATTACATAATATATGTGAATGATATATATCATGTATAATATAAATATTTAAGTGAGTGGAAGTTATTAAAAAAAATGTGCAGTATGTTGACACCTCGTTTTGTCAAACTTTCATATATGGGTTGGAGTGAGAAGCTCTCCCTTCTCTCTACAAAATTTGTTTTTCCTTTTCTAAAACACTAACCAAACTACACCGTGGAAATGACCACCACCAACTCTCCGCCGAACCACCTAATTTGGGTATCATGCACATTGTTCCTCCCACGACACACAACAATCTATCTACGGACGCGAAATAATCCTTCAAGCGCACACTGCTTTCTCACAACCAATTCCACCATTTACAGAGCACTTGTCACACAACTCACTCACACGTTGATTTCTCCGATGAAGCCACAAACGACTACCAACATGATACCTTTATCCCTTTAACATCCTCTGATAAAACTAGACTATATTCTCCTTGGAGATGGCTAGTGATAGTCAAAGTATTTGGCAGAAAAGTGGAACAAAAAATATTATGTACCAAATTACGTACATTATGACAACTTATAGAAGAATTACCAATAATCTATTTGGGATCAGACTTCTTCCTCATAAAATTCCAAAATGAAGAAAATATGAACAAAGCACTCCATGAAGGACCTTGGTTTATATTTAATCATTTCCTTTCAGTACGCAAATGGGAACCAAAATTCATCGCCTCCAATACACAACTCACTTATTCAGTGATTTGGATATGATTACCTGAGTTATGTCCCGAGTTCTATGATTTTTACATCCTACAAATAGTTGGATCCAAAATTTGTATCCTTATAAAGATTGATACTTATACGTCGGTTACTACTATGGGAAGATATGCAAGAATATGTATTGAAGTACCGTTGGGACAACCATTGAAAATACATGTTTTTATTGGTATGCACCGACAACAAATTCTATACGAAGGTCTTAACATGTTATGCACCATATGTGGAAGGTTTGGTCACAACAAAATACTATGCACGTTTAAAACAATACCTGGAGAACCAAGTACACTCAACGCTCACCCAACTCCTCCCACAGGTTCCAAGACTGTTACTTAGTTACTTCAAGCAAAGGAACTCCCTCATCAGCAATCAACAACCATCAGCAAATAGAAATGAATAAGTTTTTCATCAAAAAATAAATACAAAAGCTCGTCTCGCGGGAAAGGCCACATGCCTTTACGTAAAGATAACCATCAATCACGAACTGCTCAACACACATCGATGTCATGCCAGCTACTACATTGTACCCTACATGTACATCCTTAAACGAGCAACTCTCAAACATTGCTTCCTCAACCAAAGGAAAAGACATTGCTACCCTCCCCCCCTAATAATTCTACATTAGAGTTAATTGAGGAAGTTGAGGATACCACCATGCTGGACTCAAACTCAACACCATTCAGCCCAATGTCATAATATAACCAGCCCAATGCATCTATCACACAAAAGCCCGCACAAATATTGGTCTACAAAAAATAGGCATAACCTCACCTCATCATCCAATTGTACACCATGAAACAAATTCCTCCTCCATGTCAAATCATTCAACCACGGCTACAAGCCACGTGAAACAACAACCTGACGTTTCACAACTCGATGACACCTTAACCAAATTACCACGAAAAACTATACTACACAATCTTACACAACACAATCTCCCTCGTGATACAAGGCTTATAAACTTTACTATGACATACCAAATACACACATGTAGCTCATACACTCCAAACACTTTACCTCTAGTAGCTTATCCCACACCCATCACTACACATACAGAGAAGACACATGATCTCCTGCACAAATAGCTACATCATCGCTACCCCCATCTAATCAACCGCACCAATTACCCACTCAAATAAACCCTTATTCGGTCGTTTCATCATTAATCCTCATTTCCAACACTAACATCTCTACTACAAGTAAATACACTACTACACTTCCACTCCACACCAATGAA